ACTGTCAAGTTATGACAAGTGGTATGCTTCAATATAGACTCATGAAGTCAAAATAACAGGGTTGCAACATCTGCTGGTGAGCAGGGGACACATGGTTCTGTAGAGCACATCTGTTAATAGTATGAATAATGTATTAGTTCATATACCAATAAATTGTATATACAAACAGAGAAATCTTGTGGGACGCTCTAATTGCATGACGAGTCTCGGTTCTGTATGGATGTCTTTCCCTGTGGCTCATTACTTCATCACTGCAGTGTTGCTGCTTAACCTTCAGCCCTGCAATGAGCCTCACTTTCCTCTAGCAAATGACAATGTCCAATTTCATTAAGAATAACATTTATTTTTCTCTCTTACTGAACCTAAAACTGTTATACTACCCAATAACCTTTGGGGTACACAAGCTGTGACTTTGCCTTCACCTCAATAAAGCTCTCCATGATTGAATCAAGTGGCTGAGGTCAACAGGACATATGTTCATTTCCCAGGGTCCACTAGGGTCCCTGCGGGCACAAAAAAATATGCTGAGTGTCTTCAGTGACATTTATTGGATACGAACTAAGTTAGATTTTTTCCCCTTTTTTCTAATTTCATCTCTTTCACTTTTAGAGAGGATTCCTCTACACAGTGCGTGCACGAGAGTGTGTATGCCTGTGCTCATGCATGTGCGGATGTTGTGCATGCTTACAAAGTATTTCAACCCTGTGGTCATGCTTCAGGCACCAGCACATAGTACATCTGTCACTGTCTCTACAACTTCACCTCAATTTTCTGCAAACAAGTTCCACTTCTGTGCCTTGAAGGACAGATACTTCTTCCTCCATGTCTTCTGTTCCAGTCTGTCTCTGTCACTCCTTTCCTGCTCCCATCACTTTACATCTGTCAGCCTCCAACAGCCTTTTGTCAGCCGTCTCAAAGCTTTTCATCATCTTCCCCCGATGTTAGTTAAATTGTAACAGCAGCAGAAATGGTTTTAATACAGTAAATTCACTTGGAATTGAGTTGAGGTTTTAGTAAGTTATTATTTCCCACTGTAGCGCTCACATTTTCTATGTCGCTAAGAGATGAAAAAAGCGAAATCTCTCTGTGGGATTCTTGTCCGTGTACTCCAGCAATCTCCAATTACAGTACAAAAACATATTCAAAAAACATATATTATATAAAGTGGCAGCATAACAGTGACAGCCATCTTAACTGACTATGACCTCTTTAATGATTTTGGGGGACATTAGTAAAAAAGAATATTATATTATATGTTATAGCAAATAACTATTGTCATGTGTTCATAAAGAAAAACCTCATTTGACCTGAGTTAATTTTTGATGCAAAGTGCATGCCATCATGTGATTGCCATCAAGTCCTCCCAGGTGTGGGACATATATATGGCAACCTGTAAATGCTTAAATAAATATGCTGCAATCTCATTTATATATTGTGTTGTATGCATGAATCCATGCTGTACTGATGCCTTTCACTACTTGCTTCATTCTTCCAGCTAATGTGTTTATTCTCAATAGGTTTTCTTTTATTATATTATTTTTTTTCTTTTTAACCAGCAAAGTTTGTGTCTCACTACACAGACTGCCGATAGCAAACACAATGCACAGCGGTGTGAACATTTATTGTATCTAACTATAATTTTGTGTGTGCACTTGCTCTGTTAGCAGGGTAAGGACATTTCTGCACATGCTAGTGAATGAACCCTATTGTCTTTTTTTTTTTTAATGAAAGACCTTGTTTATTTAGACTATACAATGTTAAACCACTTCCTGCACATATTACAGCATCCAGGCAGTAAAGGTGCCTGTCACCTGACCTACCACCCACAGAAAACATTTAGCCCCCTGTAGAGCTGGGCGATAGAACGATAACGATATGTATCG